CTTCCAGTCACAAACTCAGGACTCAGTGTAATGAAACTGTATAAAGAAGTGTAATCTTAGTGTGCAACCCAGCTCGATAAAGCAACACTGAGTTCATTTCATTCCCCCACTCTCCTCATTCCTATTGAACTACGTCATGTTACGATCAAACTTCAAAGTACTTCGAATGAACCCTTACAGCCACGGACCTAATCCGCTGTGTCTTGAAACTGTAACGCATGCATAAAGAATGCTAGCCTTGAACTATACAACAGTAAACACATTGTGTAGCAAATACACTGATATACAACACTGAGTATATTTCACTCGGCCGCTATCATCATTCCTAACGAAGTACGTCATTCAGACAACGATATACTCTTAGACATAAACAGCCCGGTGTTGCCGTGACTTGCAGAAGTGTTGTCATCCACCAGCTTCCATTCAAATGTATCCAGAACGTATGAATTCTTGTAGTGAAACAAAAAATTGGGAAATTTCTTCTTTGGAGTCAGTGCAAAAATTTTAACATGTTTTATACATTCTGTAAATTACAATATCTGATTCTATATTCTTTCGAGAAAAAAAACAGCGTTTATTTCGTTCGTTTATCACAGAAATTGCAGAAATAGGAGCAAATTTAGTAAGTGACTACAGTTTTATGGATTTCTAATCGCGGGTATTTAAATTAATTCCGTACCGCTGCCCTTACCGGAATTTAAATGCCCGTAGGATAAAGGATATCCTCGCAGTCGCAGCATGTTGTATACGATTTGGTAGCATGAGCACAAAGTACTTTTTACCTTGTTTTGGATGCATTCTTTATGTCAAGATTCCTTGAAATCCTCATAGTCGCTGTTTTGTCACCATTCATTTATATTTCCACTGGTTTCGTTTCTCTTCAGTTTCCTTTTCATCTGATTATCATATCAAATTAACACCCTGTCTGCAAATATTAATATTTTAATATCTGATCTTTTGTTTTCTCTAACTTTATCAGCAACTTCATTCATTATGGCATTAAATGAGGCTGGTTACAGAACACTTTCTTGTCTCACTCCACTACTTGTTTTCAATCATCCTGATCTTCCTAAGATTGTTATTAACAAACACAGTTTATACAATTACAGCATGTTGGCTTCAATTTCTAAGATATTCTGGCACTTATACTGTGACACAAATTTCTAAATATCCTTACCGTATCCTTGCCAGATTCCAGATGCTTATCAAGGTAACTGTCTTATTGTATAGGTCAAGTCTGTTCTGTCACATAGCATGGTTAGGGTGATGAAACAGAGGTCATAATCAGAGGATCACATAGATCATATGGGGAACAAGAAATGCATTCAGAAGTGTTGTGGTAAGTGACCAGTTCCACAACCAAAACAGAGATGGGAAGATAATGTGAATCTCAACAGATCTGTTGTAATAAATTTAACGATGCTGTCGAACGCAGTGAATGAATGTCTGGATAATGATCATGAATGGATGACTGGGAGGTGTTTTAAAAACATGGCCTATATTAATGGACACTGGCATTTATCTGATGGAACTGAGGAATACAGTGACAAACCTGTTGGAATACCTGGTTCTAAGTCTGAAATTTAAACCAGGTACTCGCAATTAACAGTAATTTTCATTACCACTGAGCCACCCCATACATTCAGTGATGCATGAAATGATGCAGTATTTGATCTATTAATAAAATCTTTATTTCAATTACAATACTAGAAACTAACATACAAAAAGGAAGACCACTGCATGGAGATTTAGCCTGTCTGTATCAAGATCACCATTACGTCTGATAACTTCAACATGAACTGTGATGTTGATTACTTGACAGCACATATCCTCAGTTATCTCTTTGCAGGCCTGAATGATCAGTGCTCTCAATTCCATTACAGTTCGCAGCTTTTTCAGAAAAATCTTTTCCTTAATAAACCTCCAGAGAAAAAAAGTCACATGGGTTTAAATCAGGACTATTTGGGGCCAGTTCTGTCCACGTGTAAAATGATCAGAAATTGGTTAGAGATGACACGTGAGTTGAAAGTGCCATGCAGAAAGTCCGAAACAATATTCGCTGTGTGCGGCCTGGCTCCATCCTACATGAACCACTGTGTCTGTAACGGCAAACCTGTAGCAAGAAGGTGAGGCCAAAAGTATTGTGCAACATTCTTAAATAGTACTCACTGTTCACAGTCTCTTCAAAGAAAATTGGCCCTAGCAGTCCATGACTTGAGACGGTGACCCACACTGTAATTCTTGGTGCATGATGCACCTTATAATGTCTCATATGTTGTTCCTCTGAAGCCCCAAAATCGCACATTCTTTTATTAAACACACCATCCACGTGAAAGCGTGCCTCATCAGAAAACCAGACACTGTTAATGATACCTCATTATTCTGTGCCCATTATGCATGTGCCATTCTTTGAAGTTTGTTTGGAATTGTAAGTTTATGCAACACTGTTATTTTGTAGGGATACAAATTCAAATTACTTTTCAATATTTATTGCACTGATTGTCTGGATATCCTTAGTTGTGCTGCAGCCTTATTGATTTACTGGGGCTTCTTTGCAGAGCCACAAGCGTCAATGTTCTAGAGAGAACGCACAGATGAAGGCCAGCAACGCTTCCTCTCCAGCACTGAACCACCATTATTAAGCTGGTTATAAAGTTTATGAATTGTTTTGAATGAAGGCACCCATTGCGTTTGAAAATGGGAATGAAACTGCCCCTGTGTGACCACAACACTTCTTGTTTCATTAACCCTTTGACGCGGTAATTTAAATTCCGCGGCTGCGTCTCCTGCGGTAATATATTCAGCCGGCCATTTAAATTTTGCTCGAAAATGATTTATTCATCATTGTTCTTAAATTCTATGAGATAGGAACATGAAACTTTCACTAAAATGATCTTAAAAGGTGGTTTTATAACCTTACCTTATAATATGAGCGCCCTTTATATCTTCAATGGAAGCAGGTTTTTTAGTATTTGAGCAGTGAATGGTACGCCTTGAAGCATGAAACTTTCACTAAAATGATCTTAAAAGATGGTTTTTATAACCTTACCTTATAATATGAGCGCCCTGTATCTCGGTAATGGAGGCAGTTGGTTTAGTAGAAGGAAGGCCTTGAAGCATTCGTATAACCCAACGGTGCCTCACATTCACCATTCTCCGCTCCAATATTGTGTATTTTTTTTGGCCCTTTTTTTTAACCACACATTTGTGCGGCCTTGCCTTCTTACCCGTGAGGGGTATAGTTCAAGGAAATGTCTTTCCGTGACCCGTTTAGTTGCCAGGTCAGCTGTAGTAAATTCAACGTTACGAGTTATCATAACAAGGGGTTGTTGCTATGCCTTTGATATTCCATCCATTTTGGCGGCAGGAGATGTCGTAGGGGTGACCACAGAATTCATGAAGTTATTCTAAGAACTGTCTGGTATCTAGTGAACGAAAGTAGAGCTTAGCTGGCTCAAAAAAATATTTATGGTCATCCCTCGAAACGACCACCAAGGTCAGTACGATAAAATGGCGTCAACTTGAGCGATAATACATGAAGGAATGAGTTCTTTTTCCCTCCCCCACACACATCCGTATCGTCTCAGGGGGTGACCACAGTGTTCTGCCTTAAATTGTGGCGTTTTTCTCAGAACTGGGCCTTTGTACTGTGCGAAATCAATGGATAATGCGAGAATAAATTACTGGACAACCCTATTCTAAGAATTTCAGTTGAGTGTGTCAATGTGGCCAGCTCAGGGTAATATGATATCATATACAACAGTAAACATCACGTCTCTTCTGTTTATATCTTCGAAGCAAAGAAAACACGCCTTCATAAGAGTACAGCTAGAAACCGCTCGCCAGAACCACAGGAACTTTGCTGCAAGACAGGCATATGTAACGATGACTTGGCACAGATAAAGTCGTGTCTTATTTATACTCTGTTCTACTGACAACAGGCCAGCGAAAAATCTAACAATCTACAGCAAAACCATCAATTATTATGGGCGTTATAACATAGGTGTGCAGCTGAACGAAACATACACGTCAAACCCCCCCAGACGATTTAAATCCCTGACGAAACATACACGACGAACCACGGCAACGGGTTAAAGAACACTGTTTTCATGTGTTGTTCTATAGGCAGTCTTCATTTGTCAGCCATCTTGTGTAAACTGACAAATGAGCAGGAACAGCGTGACACTAGTGCGCTTGGGTAGAGTAAGAAGTAATCTCCATGATCTACTGTGTTACCATGTTACAAAACATTGTTCACTGCATGGTTGAATATTTAATGCTAAATCATTTCATGCACCACCTTGTAAGTTAAAAAGAGGACACATCCCAAGTGCAAGGCCATTATACTGGCTTCTTCACTTTCAAAAATGTTAGGTGAATGGAGCAGAAAATGAAATTTTCATGCAGTTCTACTAGTTGTTATGGAGTAAAAATAATGGAATAATTATTCACCACAGATTCTCAATTTTATTCGCTTACTAAGATCACAACTTGTTTTCTCTTATTTTCAATATTACTCAATCATACAATAACAATCCAAACTTCTGCACAATTCAGTTTTAATGTTTTTCACACAATGAAAAATAAAAACAAATCACTGCTATTGCAAAATAATATAAAATATATTACATCACACACTGGAGACAAATGTATTTGATATGCCTCAAACACTTCATTCAATACATTACGTTATGATGTTTCTGCTGCTATGTAGCTTTAGCTGGCTAGTTGCTCATTCATACGCTTTCTGTGCTCTGAAAGAAATAGCGTAACAGTTTAATTATTTTTCTTTGTGTGATGCTGAAATGTAGTCTCTAGTGCTGAAGGAAGAACATGAACTACAGCATTCATGAGCATATTTAGATGTAGAAGGAAGGAAGAGCCATTTTAGAAAACAATAAAATGAGGTGGTGGTAGCGACAGCAGATATTTCCAAAATTTCTCGTTTTCAAATGTTCCATCACAACATCCAGTTTAAAACACTCCACTGTCCAGAGAGACAGCTGCAATTTTTAATGTTCATCGCTGTCAAAAAATTATCAGCTGCCATCATGACATCAGTAGCTTCTTCCTCAGAACATAAAGGTTAATGGACTGATGAAGAACCCAAGTTACACTTTTGGTACAGTACCGAAAAACTGTCACCTGCCACACTGAAGATTGTAGACATTCTTAATGTCATTAGGAAATTTATGGCGCAAAACTTTAATAACAACAACAAAAAAACTGACCTCTTGTAGATTGCTTTCAGAATCTGTCCACTTTCATTATAACGTGCTTCATTTATGTGTGATGCAGCATGCCACTTCTTACGAACAGCAGCCCAATGAAGCAAGTGACTGTGAAGCAGAACCTCTCGGCTTAAATTAGGTTTAGAATCCTGCAGACAGAGTAATTACATTACATAAAATTCCCTGGATCCAAAGTTACTTGAAATGACTGTAGGATGTGGAACATATCATATAAATACAAAAACACATACACATATATATCGATACTGTCAATTTATGCTATTTAAACAACCTTTAAACAGATGAGTCACTTTTCAGACAATAAGTATTTATCAACAGAGTAGAATGAGTGTGTGTTTGAGTATTGTTTCAGTGCTATTTTAAGTCATGCTTTCACATTCATAAGACTTTTGAGATCAGATAGCAGATTATTGAAAATTTTGATCCCAGGAAAATATGTGCTTTACTGAAAGCATGGGAGGTTAGCAGTTTGTTTATGGAGATAGTGCTTGTGTCAACACTGTGTATATCTGCATTGGTCTGAAAATGTTCTTCATTATTTGTAACGAAGTTTACTAATGGAAATATATATCCATGCCTTTAAATAATTTCAAGACATAATAAGGATTCATATTTGAAGAATTAGTTAAAAATTAATTACAATTCAATAGCTGAAGCTTGAGCACTGTACACCTGATGATGGCCTGGTATAAAGGTCGAAACATGTTGTGTTTGTAAAAACAAATATAAACAAATGTTGATGCAGCAGTGTCTTCTTTGTCTCTGAATAGAGAATACTGTTGTGTAGACTGCATACCTTATATACCTTTATATACCTTGTACATAAAAAAAAGTTAAACTTACAGTTTGTATCCTTATTTTTGAAAACAGGTTCTCACATTTTATTTGCTAATAGATGCTGAAAACAAGCGATGGTTTCATTATTTATTTTTCTGACTCTCTTCTTCAAGGGTATTATATTGTTTTTTATAGTATCATTATTTACTGTAAGGAACTGAGCATCATGATCTTAAGAGGCTGCTGACTATAAGAGATGTAGAAGAAGAGTTTAACCTTGTACTATGTATAAAAATATTATCAATGACTGTTCCTGAAAAAGTGCAAGCCAGTCCAGGTGTACCACTATGAAACTCAATTTAGGGATCCACTGGATCTTGTGTACCACATCAGTTATCTCAGTTACTACCTTATTCAGGCACTCCCATGAGGACTAGGGCCTGGGCAATTTCCCCTTTGTGCCAGTTAGGCGATAAAGCCACACTCTGTCGCCCTCATGGTAGCCTGCACAGTTGGCGAATTTGTCATAACGACTTTTCATCTGGTCACTGGCCAGCTTCACGTGTTTGTGGGCATAACTGTGAACGTGGTGTAAAAGGTTCACTCAATCTGCCACATGATCGATTGTGGGTCATTCCTTGTCAGAGGGTTGCCCCATATAGCAAGTCACAGGGAAGTCAGAGTTCTCTCCCAAACACTAGGCTAGCTGGGGTCAAGCCTGTAGTGCTGTGAGTGCATGTTATGTAAGCCAGAAGACAGACGGGTAAGCTTGCACCCCAATACCTCTGGTGTGATGCGATGACCGTCCATAGATGCTCCTCAACCGTTCTGATGTAGCATTCCACCATGCCATCTGATCGCAGGTGCAAGGGCATGGTGCACATCTTGCTCACTTTCAGGTGTTGCAAAACCTCCACTATCAGATGAGACTTGAAGTTATGGCCCTGGTCACTATGTAGCTCCCACAGTACTCTGAAGTAGCAGAAGTTGGTAACTAGTACTTCTGCCAGTCGAAGCTTCCTTATTGGGAATGGCGTAGGCTTCCGGCCACTTTGTAAAATAATCCACATTGATTAGGAGGTATTGGTTTCCTTGGTCATTCCTTGGGAAGGGGCCTGGTACATCAGTGGCTATCCTCTCAAAAGGGGCCCCGACATTGTATTGCTGCATTTAGCCTTGATTCCTGGTTTGGGGGCTGCAAACTGGATGCACAGATGTCACACTGCTGTAACCACAGGTGCACTGGTGGAACTCTTGTCCACAGAGGTATTTATGGAAATGTTCCAGTGTCCTCACTATTGCAAGTAGTTTCCGTTGGGTGATGCAGTAGTTTCTCTTGGGCTTGTTCAGCATCTTACTGTAGTAGGCTATTACTTGCTCCTGTCTGCCCTGTACTTTGGAGAGCATTCCTCCAATCCCAATGTTACTTACACTTGTGTCAACAACAAACCTCTCTCTTGGCTGAAAGTAAGCAAGAATAGGTGCAGCACAGAGAGTGCCTCCTTTAGTGTTTGGAAGGTGGCCTCCACTCTTGGAGTCCACTGGAAGGCTTGCTTCTCCTGCATGGTTTTGGCCGGTGGCTTCACAATGTTGGTGAAACCAGAAATAAACTGTCTGTAACATGTGCATAGGTCCAGGAAGCTTCTAATGTCGTGCTTATTCTTTGGGGTTGGCCATTCCAGCATGGATTTCAGCTTCTCAGGGCCAATGGTTATCCTCTTGGATGACACAATATGCACAAGGTATCATATTTCCTTCTGCAAGAGTTTGCACAATATTTACTGCCATGAGAACCTCAAATTCTGCATCTTAACCTATTATAGGTTAAGTTGTTGGAGTTAAGGATTAAGATACTGGTTGATTCGGTTAGGCAAACTAATAATCACTCAGTGTTGAAGGTATATTTTACAAATACAACACACGGCAGTTGGCTCTGCTACCATTTTTAGGTTATTGTACTTGTATGCTATAATGAATAATATCTAATAAATATGAGACATAACATAATATTGTGTGGTGTAAACACAAGTGATATATATTATAACTTCAGAAAGTTATGGAAAGAAAAAACACGAGTAACACTGTGACAAGTATACTGAAATCTTACAAAGTATACTGAAGCTTGCTCCACACACAGAGCGGAAGAATGTTCAAATTTTTATAAGAATTTAATAAGGCTGTTATTCCTCGGTAATTACTAGTCAGTTCTACTGATGATTTTATAAAATTATGAACACATACAGCATACTTTCTTCCCCTTAATAAAGGAAAGTAGGATAAAAATAAGTTTTATTATTTGCAATGTGATATACAGGGTGTCCCAGGAGGAATGTGCCAAACTTCGGGAGGGTGTTCCTTATGTTAAAGTATGCCGATATAACCCAAAACACCTATGTCCAAAGTTGAACGGTTACGGAGATAATGGCCCGAGAAAAGTGTGGTCTTCTAGCGGGTCCACGGATTATACCTATCAGCTGAGAGGAATTATCTCTGTTTGTCCTTGACTGCCGTGATTCATCCTATCCGTGCTTATGGAGTTGGCTTTATCAGAACGCGCAGTCAGCACGTTACGTCATCGCTTACCATTCATGTGTCATGTACAGTGCTTGGAACTCTTAACGACAACTTTGAGATGGCATGCGAGTTTTTTGTACTTCAATTTTATGGCTTCATGTCACTCACAAGTTAGTTTGATGTTACGTACATTATTAACGTTACAGAATCCACATATTCCTGCCAGTTTTAATATCTATTTTGTAATCAACAAGTGTGTAACCCCGGTCAAAGTTTGACACTTCTCTGGCCATTATCTCCGTAACCGTTCAACTTTGGACATAGGTGTTTTGGGTTATATCGGCATACTTTAACATAAGGAACACCCTCCCGAAGTTTGGCACATTCCTCCTGGGACACCCTGTATTTAGAATAGTCAACTTTGCAACTGTATATTCATATCTGCAATAATAAATAAAATCAGATATACAAACTACAAAGAACTTGTTTAGAAAATGTTATTCTTTGCAAAGCCATGACAAACGAGCAAAAAGTAACCTCATCTGAGAACACTGCCATTCAAACTCACTTGATTGGTACTGTGCTCATCCTTAGGTTGGTGTACAGGAGATGGCACCCGTAATTTCTTTTTTGAATCCCCTGGAAGAGGAACAGGTGGTGGCATTTTGTAGGTATCTCTTACAATTTCTGAATCTGAAGCTGCTCCCTCAGCTCCACTGGGTGCATCTTCCGGTGGAGGTGGAGTTGGTGTGCGTAATCTATAAAAATAATAACAATAATTATAAAAATCACTATGATGACAATGATTATGATTATTATGACAACTATTTGTACCAAGACACTTGGAAGTGGAAGAATGCTATCATCAATTCTCAGAAAGCTTAGGTGATTCACACCCACTACAGTGAGAACATTCTTGGCCTAAACCTAGATGAAAATTTTAATGACATGGATACATAAATATGTGTGGATCCATGCAATGTAACACTCAATGAACTGAGAATTTCAACAGTAACAGAACTCCCATTACAGTAAAAATTCTCGATTTATCTTTCATACCCAAAAAACACCTGCAAGCACAAACACATGATGAGTAAATTTTTTTAATAATTATTAAAGTGTTTAAGCAGAGGACATTGTCAAATGAAACAAACTTTAAACAGAAGTGACAAAATGGTTGCAGCATCAGCTACACTCAAAATATATTAGAGATGATGGATCATTTTCATTGTCTAGAAAGCAAGCTTGTGAACAGAGGAAAAAATACAAGCTGATATAAGAATAATTACAAAATAAAGAGAAAATATAACATAACACAACCGACTCACTGTGATAATCAACATAAAAATATATAACATATTTTGTAAATTTCTAAGAATGGTACAAGTTAGGACTACTTGGTCAGCAAACAGACTGGCTACAGACTCAATGGTCTGAGTTTACAGATATACCAATTACAAATTTGAAGCAATATAACCTAATAACAGATGCATGAAGCAACAGTGAAAACCCCATTTAAGGTCTGTTTTGGGATCAGTGGATTTGTACACTAAACTGATATATGGAAATAAATTATAATTGAGATTACTCATATGACATCACTGACAGTGAACACCATATGAGGATAAACATTAAATTGAGGAACATTAAACGGGGGTTCTGCCATAACGATTCTCTCTACCACACAGCAAATGTACATACATATACACAGAGGTGCTGCCTTCTTTGAGACTACATTTATATTAGGACATGACGTATATACTTTGGTGTGAGGTTGGTGTTACGAGGCTGGTTGGCCATCCACGCCCTGCAGATTGGATAGAGTGGTGTGTCCTCTCTGAACTGGGCTAAATCCACACTTCGGTCAAACAGCTTCATGACATAGGTGTGGTGAAATGCAGTATCATTTATGGCTTCCCTACGACGACGTTTCCTCTGTGGACGTAAATTCCGGATTGCTTGCTGAGATTGAACAACCACAGGTTCACTGTAAATGAAATACAAATGAATTTCTTAACAATGATACATAAATGTATTATGTACTGCTTGGCACACTGATTCTTGAGTTACTCAATTTGAAAATATCTTAAGGCATTTTCTTAGCCGTTTCCTTTATAAACACCCTTTGGCATGATCATTACCAGAAGTGCAATATGAATGAATGCCATATCTCTATGTCCATATGTCTATAACTCATCTTTAAAATTACTCAACTGATTTTATTGAACTTGGTATTAGGATCCTCCACAAAAACTGTCTGCAAAACTTATTTTGATCTATATCTCTCTGAGCAAGTTTATTATATTCTGGAGGTTTCTGGTTTGAGTCCTCGCCAGATCACGGAGTATCCTGAAGGCTTTTGTGATTTCCTTCAGTCCTTCCAGGCAAATTTTGGAGCTATGCCAAATTTCTCCATGACCACTTCCTTTCACATACTTTTCAAGTTATTATTATTCATTTCTTATTCTACCATTTGACTACATATATTTGTAGACTGAGATACTAGCAGCATCATTAAATAAAAATAATACAAAAATTTATTGTATAAGTCCAATATCACTATTATGCATGACATGCAGATCAAACAACATAATTTTTCTCAAAATCATTTTATCATATAAAAAACTGGTAAATAACAAGATACAGATCTTGCCATGATACCTTTCATTTCAAATGTTTCAAATATATTTAACACAAAAAAGAAAAAAATTACAGTCTCTGCAGCATAGTATATGCACTTTGATTAGTTTTGCAGAAAATAAATTAATATATTGTGACATGTTGAGCTATGGATGACGCACCTCTCCCCCCCGCCAGCCGTGATGCGCCGAGTGAGCCGAAGTTAGCCGAGTCCTAGCATCCTGGTCGCTATGCAAAGCGAGTCAACAGCGATGACGTCGCCAAGTGTACCGCGGTTGCTAGGCAGCACGGGTAAACAGGATTGCGAGAGACGACGGTGGTAACAGCGGTTACTACCGCTAGTGTTACTAGCAACACAGCGCCAGGCAACAAGGGTGCTTATTACGTGGCCGTTTTCTGTATTGTCCGATCGAGGCTACATGACGCGCAGCGAAGGCTATTCACAGTTAGTCCTGGAGCTACCTCCGAGTCAGTCCTCGAGCTACCTCCGAGTTAGTTCCGAGTTAGCCAGCAACCAGTCAGTTGTATTCTGGCATTTGGAGTGTAGTATTTGTGATACTGCAGATAGCAGTAGTTCTAAAACTGTAACTTGTGTAATTGTATGAGCGAGTGTGAAATAAAATTCGCTATATCAAACACGGCGTGAAGTTATTTGTCGCGTTATACGCCCAATACGTGACAATATGTAATAAAAACGGTAAAGCTATCCCTTAACAGGCTTGGGGGCCCATAGGATTGTGAAACCTCAAGGCTCTCACATTTTCTAGACAGTCAACTCACAGATGGCAGTGAGATTGTCAGCCTTAAGCGCCTGACACCCTTTACCCTCCCCCCTCCTCCAGGAAGATTCATGGTACTAATTTCTGTTAGAGGCTGAGAGGGTCCCAGGGCCATAGCAGGGCTGAAAGGATTAGGTAAACTGAAAAAATCCAATGACCTTATCGGGAATCAAATTTGCAACCTTCTGGCTTGTAGTATAGTGCCTCAACCAACTACACTACTGCATGCTACCAGTATCTGTAATATGATCATCAGAATCAATAAGGGATACAAAACTGGAAAGGGCGTGGGGGGGTGGGGGGAGCAGTTGGAAAACATGTGTACTCAAAACTGAAGTACATTTTTATATTCTTTTCAAGTTTTGATTTGATATGTTTAATGTGTGGACAGATGTGAATAAGCAATGAGGCTGAGTTAACTCTAAATTTCTTAATTAACCATTATTAACTTTCTTCAGTTTGTAGATGAAATGCCTCCATACTGTACAAGCCAGGAAGACAAGACCATGTTGGAATAAGACTTTTGACAGTTGCGTGTTTACTTAAGCAAATTAAACTTCACTGAGTACAGGAACAGAATATTTTAATATACACAGTTTCAATGACATTAAGAAAAAATATTAAAATACCTACGATTTAACAGACAGTGGTTTCTTAATAGCTGCTTGTTGGTTGAATACATCCGACTGTGATGTGTCATCATGGCTTGACACTGAAGAATCATCACTCTGATCCATAAGTTCTTGTAATGCACCCTTCAAGCGGTCCCGAGCATTCGTCACATCGCCAGTACCTGGGAACAAAATTAAATTTGCATATTCCAAGCAATGCATTTTGTCATACTGTAGCATGTACAGCCAATGCCATGCCATGACTGCAACGGTCATTTCTAGGCAATGGATTGGTAAACATGTTCCTGTGGCAACAAATATGCACGCAAAAATATAGTTACTGTTGGAAACGGTGTTTACTACTTGGTTCATGCAAGTACAGTGAATCACTGTACAAATCATGACATGTAAGTCTTCACCAGCCTGCAGTGTCTTTACTATTCATTGCTTGGTAACATCTCTCAACAATGGATATTCTTCAGCTTCAGTGCTCATGTCATTCCTGTCCAGTGAATATCCCTCAACTGACTGGGGTGCCCCAACTGTTTTCCTTATAACCCCTATGCATGGACCAAGTAGTAAACACCGTTTCCAACAGTAACTCTATTGTTGCATGCATACGCTTTTCAACCAATCACTACAGCTACACATGTGGAACTGAGTACAGTTGGATGTTACACATGTGCCTACAAATTACACACAAATTGTATGTTGAAAGATACCAATATAACAAAAGTGGAAATCTTTGTAGTTTTATTACGTATAAATTGAAACTAATCTTTCACAGATTCAATGCTCAATCTTTTGCCTGTCAATACTTGCTTCTGATAATGACATCAGCAGCTTGTTACATAAGATTATTGTATGGCAGACTTCCGTGAAGGCAAATGTGTAATGCTTCCTGTGTTGCAGCACTTATATCTAAAATTAAATTGTACCAAAACAGTAACATTCACAAATGTTGCAACTCTTACATCTAAAATTAAATTCTTTTATCATAGTAACATTCCTCTGATCTTGTCACAGAACTGCTAAAATACAATCAACCTGTTCTCACATTAAAATTTAAATGTTTGCACTAATACAGAGGATGAGAGGCATGTCATATCATATCAACATCAACATTCATTCCTAGTGGTCTTCTCTTGACTGTCTCTGTGGTCTAGATGTCAGAGTTCCTGGGTTCGATTCCCAGGGCTACCAGATTTTGTGAGAAGTAGTGGGTCTGGAACGGGATCCACTCAGCCTCGTGAGGATAACTGAGGAGTTATTTCAAGGAAATAGCTGCTCCGGTCTAGAAAACTGAGATTAACGGTCATGGGGATCTGTGGACCTCCATCAAGTGCTGAGGTCAAGAATGGTGGAGCTATACCTCCACTCCCCCATATGTCTTAATGGCATATTGCTTAATTACATACTAAGTACAGGGACACCTTTAGCTTCCCCCCCCCCCACTGACTGAGAGGCTATTTGCTTCTCACAACAGGCTATTCTGCATGAAGTCAGACATTCGATTTGAGATTCGTGTAGTGTAAGATTAACACTACTACTGCCCGATATGGACTAAACTGAAATTCGTCAGACAACTTTTACTGCAGAATGGAACACCAAATTTTACTTAGATAAGTGGTGTTGTTTCGGAAATGAAACGTTCAGATAGAAGGACATGGCCTTTCCCTTGTGAGTTCATTTTCTGGACTTCGGACTGGGAACATGTAATATTATAAATGAACGAATACACAACTTGCTGATATGGATGGAACAGGAAGTACTACAGATCCTTATAATCTCAGAAGTTCGCTTCATTGTAATTTTTAACAAATACTATGTTTCGAACGTTATTTGTATTTATGTTCATAACCTATTTAAATGCAGAACTGCATATTCCCAATTGCAAGGGTCCATTAGTTACTTTCACCGAAGAGAGGGTTTAATACAGATTCTGGGACCGCTGTGGCACTGTTAGTTTGCGTTACACAAAAAGTATTCCTACTTTTAATCACAGGGTATTCTTAAGGCCTTTCAAGGGACGAAACCGCATGACCTATCAGGAAGAAATGCTGGTATCGTGCCATTAGCGGATCACTACATTTTGCGTTTATTAATCTACAGTTCCTACAGCCTCTCTATAAGCCTAGAGTTCATAGAATTTAGGGGTCAAGTAGGTGCCACAAGTTATTCAAGAATTACTTGTGTAAATTTATGACTAACATCACGGTGATTAAGATCGTTTGTGACATTCAGTTCAAATTTTAATTTTTTTCTTTCTGCACCCACTCATTACAAATTGTCAGAATTGTAACTGTGTACGAGGAATTCCTAAAATTGCTTTTGTTTCACGAAACATAGATAATGCAATTACTGACAGTGTTATATAATTTCACATAAGGGCATACATATTATTTTCCATATGTTATGAGCATAAGAATCTCAATTTTCGCGAAACGGGGAGTTGACTCGCAAACCAAACTGGGCACACCATCACAGTTTTTTTTTAAACTTCGGCGTACGATACTTCTTCCGTGTACGCCCATTCACACATAACATACATGCGCACAAGTAGCCTAAATGAAACCTTGGCAGTGTGCTAAGAAAATGTAACGATATTTCAATTGTATACATTTCCTACAACCCTACATTACAACGCTACGACTGACACTTGTGAATTCAAAAAGCAAATGGAAAGCACCGCTCCAAACATTTAATCAAAGGCGTTCTTTGTGATTCTGCATGTCTCACTAGTCTGCAATTTCAGTTTTTTGGATATAATTGTACTACTGCATACAAAAATCTATTGCTGCAAAGATATTTACACTGCACAGTCTGAAATTTTTTCCTTGTAGTTAGTTAAATATCCTTCACATGAAAAAGATATATTTCAATATAAAGGCATAGGTCTTAATGACACTTGTATTTTATGTTGCGCTAATTTTAGGCGTTCTTTATACAGTATAAAATGAGCGCCTTATGTGGAGATCATGTCCGTCTGTCCGTCTGTGATCCAGTATCAGCGCCTCAACCAATGGGTACACCTTTTTTTAACGCGTGACATGGGAGATGTTCGCTAAAAATTGATTAATTACAGCCTTCAGTCATACTGATCCAGAGCAAATCCCCTTTAATATAAGGTCATAAATGAACTCTTCCGCACATATGATAAATTGTTAATCATATTTTAGTTAAATTCGAGATAATAAATCTTCGCATAAGGTCACTCGGCCGATATGACTTTTAATTATATTGAAACATCACAAACTCTATGTAAGTTTTGAAGTTTTCACGGCGATGACTATGAAGAAAGTCGTCTTCTGGGATCTGGTGCCGTGTATTCTTTGTTTTAGCCGACGTTTCGGAGGAACGTCGGCTAAAACGAAGAATACACGGCGCCAAAACCCAGAAGACGANAGACGACTTTCTTAATCACAAACTCTACTTTACATAAGGTCATAAATTAATCTTTTCGTGTGTGCCATAAGCCGTTAACCACATTTTGGCGAAATTCGATATGAGAGATGTTTTTTCATAACGTTAATTGACAGTCCTGTCTTTTTAGCTATCTTGACCGACTACGAACCTTACTTCGCGCAGGGCCACAAATGGACTTTTCCATATATCCCATAAACCAGTATGCAGATTATGTTGAAATTAGATACTGTGCATTATTATGCCGATCAAATACGAGTATAAATTTTGCTTGGTTTATCCAACGTGTTTTTGTTCAATTTCTTTATTAAAACCGTCACAACACAACAATATTAAGGTCAGTGCCTAGTTTGCAGTGCCAAACTAGGCACTGACCTTAATATTGTTGTGTTGTGACGGTTTTAATAAAGAAATTGTATATTATAACACAACAGGATGCATGAAATGAAAATTATAGAAGTGTTTTTTGTTCTTCTGAATTGTCGTTTATTAGCAGGCTGCGAAATTTTGAGAACATTACGAAGTATACCTTCTCCAATTTTGTAGCTACACGAGCCCTTTTAAGAAAATTGATATCTCAATTTGAACTTCTAGTGGGAGGACTCTGGCCGATTATAACAAAAATTGAACTCGCCCCGTATATTTTAATACAGACACCCCAAAGCAACGATTCTCAAGTGCGGTCATCAATAGTTTTTACGCGGCCAGCAGCTACTTTCGTAACTAGTAAGGATTGTTGTAATTCTTCCTCAACCGTTAGAAAAACTTGTCTTTGTAGGTATCTCACACGCGGGAACGCGGTAGCGTAGTTGGTCGAGGCACTATGCTACAAGCCGGAAGGTCGCGGGTTCGATTCCCAATGAGGCGGATTTTTTAAATTTACCTAATCCTTCCAGCCGCATTATGGCCCTGGGACTGACTCAGCTTCTAACAGAAATGAGTACCAGGAATCTTCCTGAGGGGTAAGGGGCGGCCGGCGCGTAAGGCTGACAATCTCACCGCCATTTGTGAGCCGATTGTCTAGACGATGTGGCAGCCTCGACGTCACACAACCCTATGGGCCTTCAGGGCTTGTTACAGGGATATCTGTACTTTTTTTCTTTTACTTACGTCATATGAATTCATCGACGCGGGTGATGTGGGTGTGCTACACGGCGGTAGTTTTTCGCCCCCTCTTCTCTGAAAACAAATAGCTCAAGAAATTGTTGGACGAAAATCTTCTTCGGCTCGCACTTCTCTCACGCTCTGCTTTAAAGCTGAAATTAATAACAACCTTCTTTACGGAATCCTTTTTTTTGGGGGGGGGGGTTCAGAACATGTTTGTAACTTTCAAAAGCGGCCACGAGAGAGCTCCAGAACCGCTGCCCCGAAGAAATCATAACGAGCTTCAAATCTACATACACAGTTGAATTCATGGCGTTATTTGAAATCAAACTGTGATTAACAATAGGTTCAACCGCAGTACATAGTGGTGGAGCGCAGAGGTATTTGCGTCACTTCCTCGCGCTATATAAGTGACTGGCTATCCTCCAAGCACATTCGCAGATCATAGCCCTCCGGTCTATCATCATCCACCACCTCCGTCATCAGTATCATCATCGCCAGTGTTCAAAGTACTCCAGTGTACGTACAACTGTTATGCAAAGGGCATGTGCAGTGTTCTTACTGTCGCCAATGAAAGGGGCCAAGACTGCATATAAATTTCAACTATACACCACCATCACAAGAGGATCATATGGAAGTATATCCAGGTCAGTACAGATGGACTGTCTTACGTTGCTAACCTTATATGCACACGCTTTCTCAACGGTATGTATCACATACCATTTTACGAGTGACTAAGAAGGATGTCAAAGAAAATGGTCAGCATATTCCTTGCTTTCATTAGCCTGGAGGAATTAACGGAAATCCATGAATATAGTAATACCAGTACTATGTGTCGGGACATTATCTATCGTACTGTCTTTATCTAAAAACCGTCTTGTTTATTTTTCAAAACAGAACGTTTATGGGACTGGATTCTGTCTCCGTCTTCACGCAAAATCTACTCAGTTGGGCCCAATCGATAGAGTTAGTCCCTATCTCCTGAAGATGGTGACAGAATCTAGTCTCCGAAACGCTGTGTTTTGAAAAATAAACAGGACGGTTTTTATATAAAGAGAAGACGATGGATAATGTCAAAAAATATCATATTTGTTCTAATGTACCATTCTCACAAACTTTTATATCTTATCATGAATATAATACTGTGAGGATTGCTGGTCTTAGGCCGAGGATCGAACCAGGTACTTTCGGAAGATAAATCGTGGGTGCAAACTACTCGACTGTGAAGTTCCGTGATTAGTCTTACGGTACTAAAACTACGCGAATAAAATATTCTATCTCAGATAAACGGTGAAGTAGGCAATCTACAATAGTCGGTCCTACAGACAGATAAACCGCTAGTCACTAACGGGGTCCCAGGTCAGTTATGGGGACGTCAGTTGATCGTGCATTTTCAATAACAACGCCGAGGCGACTTTATATAAAGTCTCACTGACCACTTGTGACGTAAAACGATCGAGACGACAAACACACGTTGAGCCCAAAGAATACAAAAACTTATTTTTTCTGGGTCAAAGTGCTGTCAGCAATCCACATTTATTGGTCCACTAAACATGTTATTCCTGTGTCTAAGCACCACGCCAGGAAGGTTTAAGGCGATGTGGAGATGAAACTCTTAATTGAATCGAGACTCTGGTACTAGAGGGAGTAAGTGGTGAATTTGAAGCTCCGGCTGCTTTATCGTCGGGGAAATAATTCTCGATTCACATTGAATAGGGGGTTGGAGGACCCCAGAGCCTTTAGGAAACGGTGGCGAAGAGAATGTCCAACGCCTGCCTGGAATCAAACCACCGTCTGTCCAGCACCTAGTCAATCATTTAAGAAACTGAAATTGAAGGGTAAAGTTCAAACACAAGGCAAGGTTGCTGTGAGGCACTAACCTGTACACGACAACTTTACCCGCTGTATTTACAGATACCGGTGCAGTTAGTTTCCTGTTATGAACGTCTACTGTAAAGAGTCAACGGTTGAAAATATCGGTTCACAATTGCAAAGGGTCGAGAATGGCGACCACGTCAACGGCGCTCCGATGTGGATCGTCCCATGTAAGCGTATATGAGCTGGCATTATCTGACAACGTAAGAATACAGGCTAAAATTAAATTTCAGACTACGTTTACAATGCAGATAGATACCAAATTCAATAAAAATCTTATCGAGCTGTGTCAGAAACGAAACATGTCGCAAGCCAGACACAGCCTCTCCATAACGAGTTAATTACATGCACTTCGTCCAAGAGATCATATAATAATTCGAGTCACTTTATAGCAGCCCCGACCGCCTCTGTAGTCTAGTCGTCAGAGATCCTGGCTACAGATCCAGAGGTCCGGGTTCGATTCCCGGGGCTATCAGATTTTCTGAGAGGTAGTGGGTCTGGAGCGGGTTCCACTCAACCTCGTGAGGATAATAGAGGAGCTACTTGAAAGGAAAAGTAGCGGCTTCAGTCTAGAAAACCGAGAATAACGGCCGAGGGAATCCGTTGCGCTGACCACGCGACACCCTCTATCCGCAAAAGCTGGCACTAACTTCGCCGACAAACGGCGGGCGCTCGGTCGGTATAGTTCGCTTGCGGACTAAAAGCCGCAGAGTCTTTTTATTGCAACTTCTGGCCTAAGCGAGAGGAGGGAGGAACGACAGTGAGCTGAGATGTCAGTAAGGCAGCTACAGGTAGCTGACAACGTAGGTTCAGCTCTGTTGGGAAATATTTTGTGTTCATTATCATATATTTAATGGATGCAGTATCAGAGTATCGTATCGTTAGCTATACTTTGAGAGATACTGCCTCTCCTGTTTGGTAATCTTCTTCTATTTATTCTTATACCTTGACGTATTAGCAAGAAATCAGCGTGAAAACAGGTGGCAAGCAGAGCTCGGTTAATTCTTCGACCCTAAAGATGGAGGCGACGTGTTCCTCCGAAACGTCGGTTGGCTTTCAACAGACTACACTACTTACGTCCCAGATGACAGAACTCTTCATGACCACCGATGTGAGAACCTTCAATCCTATATACGTAACTTGTGGCTGTTCGTGATTTTCTTCAGTTAATTCATGCAAATATCAGGAAAGTACGTGATAAATTCTCTGGTTAAAATTACCGACGTTTCAGGAGTCATCTGTACCATCACCAGGGTCAAGATCAATAGACGCTGATGATGGGGACAGAGAGAGTTCATGAAACATCGGTAATTTCTAACCAACTGACATGACTCATAGCCCGAGAAGACATTATCAACGTTAACCACAGTGACTGATTCCGATCTTACGTTAAGATAGTACCTCAAATTGTGCGATGATGGATTCCTTCCCCATCCCTTTTGAAATCATTACTCGCTACCTACACAATGACCTCCCAAGGAGCAGAATGTTTCTGAGAATGGTGTGGACTGCATCAGATTCCTAGCACAAACGGATCTCAGTGGTGTCCACTATATAATAGCACCGTATTTATTCTATCCAAAATTCCAACGTTCTAAGGTAATTCAAAGCCTAATTCACATCAAAAACAAAAACAAACTCCGTGATTTTAGTCCGCAAGCGAACTATATCGACCGAGCTACCGTCGCTTGTAGGCGAAGTTTAGTGCCAACTTTTGCGGATAGAGGGTGTCGCGTGGTGAGTGCAACGAATCCTTACGGCCGTTAATTTCGGTTTTCTAGACCGGAAATTCACATCACAGAAAAATAAATTATAACACTATTCCGGTATATCTTCGAATTCTAGATTTAAAAAACAAGCTTCTTAAAAATTGGTTCAGGCATTCAAAAGTAGAGTGGGGGCGGGGGATTTACACAGACGAGATGAAGACTGTATAGGCTTGCTTTAGGAAGGTAGGGTAAAAAAAAGTGGCTATATTTGCTCGATTTATTAAAGCCCACGAAAGAATAATGTTTCAGATGATCGAACACTAAAGTTCGGTTCACAGCAGACTGTTTCTAAGTTATGTGCGCACATATAGCTAGACACACACACACATATTTGTGTGTGTCTAGCTATTGTGTATATTATCTTTTTATTTCAATTTTGATTTTGTATAAAATTCCCTGTAATTACATCCTGTAAAACGTGTGTCTATTACGGCAGGTAAAGCTAGGCTTCACTCAATCTGTATCTGTCTTCACGGCTGAAGTTATTGTGGCGCCTTATTCCGACGGCTTCCCTGATACTGTGTGGACGGCAGGTCCGTATGTTAAAAGACATTACATTAACCAGTACCACGATGGCAATTTAACTGATGTCCTTTCAATAACTTTTACACAATTCCAGTGTTACGAAATACAAAACTTAATTATAAAACTATGCAAACATGTACGTTTTATTTTAAAATACGAGCTAATTACATACAGTTATTCGTATAACATTCCTAAATAAAAGCGTTGAATGGTTTCGGAATTACTGCACGCTATAAAACAAAGGAATTTACGTTATGCTGCTGCAATTCGAATGCATTAGGGGATGGGCAAATAGACCATAGCACACAGTAAATGTGGCCTGGGGAGATGTTCAGATGTTATTAATTTATATCAGCTTTTACTCTTATATGTATAGTACAGGTAAGATTCTGTAAAAAAAAATCAAAATCTACATTTTAACGAAAATACAAATAGTGGGGCACCTGTACCTGTAACAGGATATGGGAAAGTGAACTGGTCCCCACTCCACATTCGTACTCATGTCTTTTGCCACCTTGAGAGCATCGAATACAAATTAATTGCTAACACTGTCATTTTTATGTATTTTAATATAAAACAGCCTAAGTAATAGATAGCTATTTAGTAATCGTTAAAAAGTACATAATTTCTTTTACAAGGCTGTCCTCGAAATAGCAAAATACAATTCCTGAGTATAAAGCAACTGTCAACCCCTGAAATACGCGATACAACGCAACTACAATTAACTGTCAAAGCAACAAGTTGGCTTACTTTATTTTACCTCTAAACAATACACACATACAATGGTGACCCAATTTCGTCGCAGCAAAATAACAGGTCAGAAAATTAATGCATAAGCATGTTTTCATCAGAACAAAAACATTACATCAGCAACACAAGGTTAGCTATGCGGTATCTTACTCTTCAAAAACAATCTGACCTTTACAGTGGGCGGTGAAAGTGAATGAGAAAAAACACCATCAAAACGAGATGGACAAGCATGGTCATCTGATCAAGAATACGTTCTTCTGGGTAATAACACCCTGTAGTTCGAGGAAAACCCTATGTTCCGGACGAACACATCACTTCCATCTTCGAGACCGAAGGTTTCTCCGAAATACAAAGTATTATAACCTATAACACCGTAGTCTTCATATGCAGTTACAGCTATGAGAGCCACGAACCGAACGAAGATGATCTCATGTTTAGCTAGTGGATTAGAATTCAGACTGCACCAGGTTTCGCTATGACTTTTCTCATCAGAAAGCTGAAACAACCCTCCAAATAGTAGGACAGAAAACAAAAGATAGCATAGCTTTTTTTTTATTTTACTCACATATTTATATATAAAAAGGAGAGTGGTAAAGTAAAATTTTAGGCACACAGTGGCAACAAAAAATTACAACCCGACCATGAGAACAGAGATTGAGTCAAAAGGTAAAGTGTATATTTCCAGCAATAAACGGGAATTTTTAAACCATACAAAGGGCGATTAAATG